CTTTCAGCAAAGTTTTTCCAGCTACAGTGAAATACATATAGCTACATATTTACAGTTAAGACACCAGGGAGATAATCTATGCACATACACTTCCAAAGTAGCTGTGGACAAGAACTGGAATTTTCCTCTGCAAGTAGCGTAACAACTAAATATTTAAATAGTTAGAAGGCCAAACAATTGCAAACAAGTCAGCAACAACCATATTTCTCTCAGTTCCTGACGTTGCCCACTAAAGACAGCTGTAAAAGAGGACCTGAGTAAGTCCCAAGTTATTCTTTTAAATTGAGCGTCCTCCTTCTCCTCCTAATAATAATAATAACAATAGTAATAATAGTAATAGTAATAGTAATAATAATAATAATAATAATAATAATATTAATGTTCAACCAAGCAATAGCTATATGAAGTAGAAATATGTATACCTATCTCAGAAAATCTACAAAAATCCAGTGCTTCAGAGACCTCACCATTTTTTCATGCAGCAATCACCAAACAACAGCTATATGAAGTAGAAATATGTATACCTATCTCAGAAAATCTACAAAAATCCAGTGCTTCAGAGACCTCACCATTTTTTCATGCAGCAATCATTAAACACTTCTCTGATAAATTGTTATGCAAACTGATGCTTGATGGAGTTTGGACTAACTAAATAGTCTTGTGTCAGAGTCAGACTCATAGAAGAGCCTTATATGGGTACCCAGCATCTCAGCAAATGCTCCCAGTGCTGCCTGCTCAACTGGTGCTGTGCCCTGCAGACGATCCGTGACCGCTGGCACCCTCACAAGCCCACATGTCACGAGCAATGGCCGAGCAGGCTAATCAGAAGCAGCCAGCGAAGTTTTGGGGTGCGAGGCTGCTGCCCTCCCCAGCAAGGAGGGAGATGGGTGCAGGGGCATGGGGAGTGACATCACGCGAAGGAAGAAGCGAGGCCCTACAGATGTCCCGCCGGGACAACGACACAGTGTTCCTGCTACATCCCGAGCGCGAACGTGGCTTGTGTGCATTCAATGAAATTGTTTTTGTATACAAAGAGGATTTCAGCTGCTGTGAGGCAGATGGAAGGCGCTTTTGGCCGCGCTGAAATGTCTGGTACTGCCCGCGTTCGGAAGCATGCACGGGGCAAGAACAAAATACACTACTGTGCAATGTAAGTTGTCTGGTAAAAAATTAATTCAGCACAGGGCTATGTGAACTACAGGAAAACAAGGAGGAGTGGATGGCTTACCCTGCTGCTCTGCCCATTCCTTTCTCTTAGAAGAAAGAGAGCTGCTCACACTGCCGGGCCACTCAAAGAAAGGTGAGGGGGTGGCAACTGTCAGAGGGCAGCAACAACCATGAGAAACTTCATTTAGCTGAGTTTAAACTTGGAGTTAGAGAGCAGAGCAGAGTGAGCAGGGAGCAGCTACAGACAGGGAGCCTTAACCTTCAGCAGAGCACCGCTCACCTCCTGCAGTCGCTGGCAGCAGTTCTTCGCCCTGGGCTGGGGGGAGGCACCTCCAGCCAGCGACTACAGCTCCCCCTCCCTCTGCTCTCCTTTCCCCCAGGAGCTGAACTGCTTCTGCATGCCTTTCAGGGTGGCACAAAAACAGGTGAGACAGTCCTGCTTTCAGAAAGTTAGAGAAACTCTTTACTAGACCAGCCAGTTCATCCTACTAGGGTGATTGCATCACTTAAATATCTGGTTTGCTAAATTCTTTTTAATTGGGAAAGTGTTTTTCTATTAAAATTTGCAGGTCTCCATAGATCATTTACCTTCCAGTACCCCATGCCTGTTAAAAATCTTTCTCCCAGCCCGGTTTTGTATGGTGCTAATGTCAATCCACATCAAAGTCCACAGGAATTCTACACATGTGAATCCAAGTTTAAGCAAGAAAAAAAAAAAAGGGGGCTCAGATTTTTATTACGTGAATTTTATTGGAACATTCCCTTCATGTCCCTACATACAGAAGAGCGTCTGGATTGAGTTACAGCTGCATTTACTCCCACACATCTGCTCCCTTATTGTTATAGTTACCTTTTCTCAGGGGATTTAAGAAACTACCCCCCCGAAAAAAAGCCCTTCACCTTTAGGTCCATGATGACAAAGATCAAAAAGCCTTCAGCATTCCTGCACCATGACATGAATTATGCTCTGCAGCAGTTTAAAAATTGCTTTTCTAATTCGAATGCTGCTGCTTGACCGCTGGGTTTCCAAGAGCGGCGCGCAGCAGGGCCGGTGCCCTCGCTCTCCGTGGAGGTGTGCGGCTTTGCTTTATAACCCACAGCACGTCTGTGACTGGCGTTTCACTGGGAGGGGCATGAGGCAAGGTATAGCAAATCTCCCTAGCAACAAACATAGAAACACAAAAATAAACTTTGGATGCACAACACTCAATTGATTTCACAAGTTGCTGGGCTGGCTGCGTGATGGAAAGCAATCGGAGGACAGCCGAGCCCGCCAAGAGGGGATGCCAGCCAGATTAAAGGTACCCAGCACTTAGAAACATAAGGGCCCAATTGTGTCAAAAATCTTATTTTAATAGAATAATACAGTATGAAGCAAGACACTTCCCTACTTTCCAATTGCTCTATTGTGCAGACCCTCAGGAGAGCTTTGAAGACCAGATTTTATCTTGGTCTCACTGCAAAGTCGAATCCCATCCCAGCTGAAGGCAGGAGGAACGTCCTGGTTTATTTCAGTGCTAATGAGGGTGGGCATTAAATGCATATGGTGATGGACCTCGTGCAGGAAGGCAGACAAGGATGCCAGGGACATCAGGAACGAAGCCCTGCAGCAGCACGCCTAAACATACACCCTGGCAATGGGGGCTTGGGCAAAGGGAAAGGAGAAACCACTGCTCCACTGCAGCAATTACAAATGACAAGGTTATTACTGACACGAACAAAAACACATTGATTGCTTTCATTAGCTGGTTATGGTCAGCTAGTGCATATTTGGGGATGGAACTTGAGCTGGTTCAAAGACAGACACTGACTGCATTTTCTATCCAGGAAATTACAAGGCAGGTCCAAGTAATCATCTTCCAGGGAGACAGTTCAGAATTACTTGGTTTTAAGTATGGATGGATATGATTTCGAAGAACCAAACTGGTATATCAAGAAACTTGTGAATGGCAGGGATAAAGACTAAGACCAGGGGAGGCACAGCTGATCTGAACTATCTCCTGATAACCTCACCAGTGAGCTAACGTTACTGGGAGAAGAAATGACATGGGCAGATGGGGTGCAGGCTGCAGGACTGCCTTTGCCCTGCCCAGCGTGATGACTGCCCTGCGAAGATGCTAGTTAGTCTCAACAGCAATGTGCACATTACCCTCCCAAACGTACAGTAGCAGTCCTATCTGAGACCTGTAAGTAAGGAGAAACAGCGTATTCCTCAGCTTGTAAATTAATTTAATTCCTGGAGTGCACTTATAGAGTAATGCCTGAGGCTTATGAAGGCAAAATGGAGCTAGAGACAGCACATTAGTCTCTGGAGAGACATACCAGCTGTTTCACGTCCTGATGGGGGTAGGGTGGAAAACAGTTGTATACAGTCTGCACTGTCCACTTAAAATCAGAGTATTTTCCCCTTACTTTCCCATACTATTAAAAATCACATATCTGAATAAATATAGGGAATTAGCAATTCACAGAGATGGGATAAGTTCAAATCCTGCACCTCCGAGGTGCAATGCTAAAATAGAAACAGCAGCCTTCTCCTCCTACAGAGTATTATCAAGAAATAATGATTCTGATGAAGAAACAGATTAAGAGGGAAATTAAAGTGCAGATTTAATTTCAATAGTAGTGCACCCAAGTCAGCCTGTAAATAAGCCAATCTCACCACCTAAATTAGGCATCAATAGAGAATTAGTGCCGACCTTAGGAAAACTGTAAGCCTTAAGAAAAGGGAAGGGTAGATGAGTGCACCCTTTTCAAACATAAATCTATAATCAACCCTCTCAAAACCAGATAAGGGCTGATGGCAGGCAAATTTAATTTTAGAAGTATCTGAAGAGTTTTCTCCTTACTGAAGGATGGGGTTGGGGCAGGGTTGGCCTTAAAGCTGGGATCCTATTGCTCCTAAACTTTGTGGAGGTCTAAATTTATGTCCAGACATTATAACTAGCCTGTATATCATTAATAAGCTATATCAAAAGCCTGCATTCAGATACCTTATCAAGTTGAAACACCTCAGATGCAAAGCTCGTCTATGGATATCAAGGCTTGATTTCCATAAAAAATCCCCTTCCAAAAGTTTATAGTACATGCTAGGAGGTTCTGCTTTGGTGTCCTCATTTCTGCCTCCCAATGAGTGGTGGTTGGTACAGTACTGAGTCAGAATATGATGTCTCCAGCTCAGTTTGAATCAGCCAGGTAAGGCACAATGCAGCTGATCGCTTAGAGCACATAATTATAGCATCCATGAGCTACTCAGAGGATGCTGGCACTGACAAAGTAGGAAAGGCTAAAAGCATCATATTAAAATGTCATAAAACATTCATTTTACATGATTAGAGAAACTGGTAATTAGCATTTTTCTTTTAGTGCTTGACTTTTTATTCCAGCTGCTCTAATCCAGCTTCTTTCCATGGCAATTATTGCCAGGAAAGCTGAATTTGGCATTCTTTTCATGTCCACTTTAAAACCTGCTCTGTAATCCGTCAGCTAGGCAGGTCTCACATGCAGTATTTGAAGGTAAGTGAGGGGGGTTTTCGCCCTATAGTCAAATTACATTTATAGTAAGCCTTAATTGTAGGAGTATGTCCATACACTATTAAACAAATCATATCAATATGTTTATTCTCTGTTAGTCTAGATTTATCTTGCCAAGGCTGAAGCTTTGTGTAAAAGGACTGACCCCAGGAGTGCATATGTCAAGCTGAATTAAGGAAGAGGAAAAAAAAATAGAGCCGTATCTAAACTTCCTTAGAATAATAGGATGTTGATTAAATTGTTAGAAAGTTAAATAAACAAGTGATTTTTTTTGTAATTGTCCTTTGAATGCCTCAGACTTCCACTCGCCTGAGCTGTCTCTGAAGGTGAGGAGGAGAAATGGCCCATTGCTGCAGGGCACATGGATTTCAGAAGGCAGCCGCCCTGCCAAAGCTTTCTGAGTGACATTGGGTAAGTCGCTGAAGCCTGGGGCATTTTGACATCTCATTTCCATCAAACTAATTGAGTTGTTGTAGGAATAAATAGAGAACAGAGCCTGGGACTTCTGCAGCAGAAGGGCAAGCTAAGGTCTGCTTCAATGGGCAGGGCAAGCAGCCACGTTACTCCAGCCAAGAGCCGTGCTGGGGCCCTGGGCTGGCCTCCTGGAGAGCAGGAACCAGCACCATCCTGCCAGGAGCACGGACAGAAAACCTGGGTCAGGAAGCTGTGAGAAACAAGTCATCACATGGCTTTGGCTGTGCACCGTTTCTAGAGAAAAAGACAAAAGCCATCAAGTAATCCCCCAATCTTCTGATCAAGAAAGGATCAGGTTGATATTTAGACTGGAGTAACATGGCCATGTCTCTGCCACAGACACAGAACCACTGCTGTGGAGGGTAGAGAGTGTACTTCAGAGGCTTAAGCCATCATCCATCCCTTTTTGGGGTCATCATTTCTTGGTCTGGCTTTAAGAGAGCAATCTACATTCACAATTTGCAAACTGCTTGCCACCCTTCACTTCCCTGAGGAGGCAATACTAAACCGTCAAAGCCCTTAATGTAGCAAGATTTCCTTGGCACTTAAGCTAAATTTTGGCTTTCTACATGTCATTTCTGCTCCTGCTGTGCTCTGACTGTCAGCCCTCATTACGTGAGCTGTGCTAACCAAGAGTCAGTGGCTCCAGCCACCCATGGCTGAATTGCCTCCACACCACTGGAAAGCCATGCAGCCACCTTTGTGTGACACCATGCTGTCTCCACTCCCCAGCAAGCATGTACCTTGAGGACAGCCCTACAATCATCCACAGATATGGATTTTGGTCTGGAATTGACTTAACCTTCAAGCTGCCCTTAGTGTGTAACCCTGGTCAAGTGCAGGGTTTTCTGCATCCCCTCACCATGACCCACAGCCACTTAGAAAAACAACGGGCATCTTTCCTCATACATGTCCTTTTTAGCACTCCCCCACTAACCTGCTTTTGTTCCTTCTTGAACCCCTGCAGTGCTATCAATCTCCCTCTGACAAAAAGCGTCAATTTTTCCAACTACAGCAAAGTCATACAGAAATGCAATAGCATTTCTTGGCTCATTAATAATTCCAGAGAGGCAGCAACATTTTTCCTCCTTTGTATGATTGACAAGCTGGTTTTTCCTTTCATATGAAATACCATAGGTAGACATTAACTAGCTAAACAAAGATACTCTTATTTCCCTAAAATGACGCTTTAAATATTTCAAGTTCCAATCACATTTCTGGTGCAACACAAATTCTTAATAAAATCATTAACTAATAAATGCTCCTCATCTTTGATGTTAGTAAGAAGTCTCAATACGTCCATGTGTTGCCATAAAGCTCTAGAGAAACTTAAAAAGATGCTTGCATTATTTACTCTTAAAAGGATCTCGCCAGTATTTGAGGAAGAAAAACATGGAAATCAATATCAAGGAACATAAACACAAACAAGGAAGATATTAAATTAAGCCACAGTTGAAAAGTTCCTTCTCCAATGAGTACATGGTGTGCAGCCAAAAGCCTATTTTTATACTACAGAAAGTATTTAAGTGAGCACATCTGCAATAGGCTTCTCTGGGAACATATACGGGGGAATCTTGTTCACACAACGCACTCAGGTGGATTCCCGTTTTTCCCGCAGACTTCCAGAGCACTGCAAGTGGCTTGTGCCCACCACCCCTGCCACACACCGCTACAGAAAACTCGTTCAGCCCGGCTTCCCAGCATTTTCAGGATCTCTACACATATGGCCGTGGCTTTTCCTATTGCCTTTCCGGTTTTGCTGAAAGGGAGCGTGACTTCCTACATGTCAGCTTTCCCCCACTGCTTCAGGTACATCTTTTTGCTGACCCTTGAGTCTGCTGAATGTATCTGAGGAGGGTGCCTGCCTTGCTCTCCTCCAGCACACCCTCTCCTTTTGGGAGCCCCTGGCTCTCCCACACCCAGCCCGGCATTCTGGATGGATATGAAGGGCCCCTGCGTTACAACCAGCTCCTCAGCAGCTGAAATTATTCCAGAAGAGCCAACTGCAATGCAATGCCCGGGGAAATGGCAATTCCTGACAGATACCATCTCCTGCCTTCAGATACAATGTCAGCAGTGCACTTCGCTTATCTTAGTGACTGATAAGAGGAAGTGGCAAGGTAATGTTGGACCTCACAGGAAAAACCTAAAGAGTAAAACTTTCATAGCTGAGCAAAACCAGTCCCTTTTAGTCCTCCTTCTTTCTCTTTAGCTTGCAGAAATGGCGAGCTCTGTAAATGTTTTCAATAGACTGCAATTCCTTTTTGTGCAATTATAAATATTTTAACATATGACATCAGTACAATATGTTTTCATTGTGTTTAGATCTCTTTAATTAGGATGGGGCCTGAGTTCTCCTTGCTGCCTTTGGTACTTGGACTTGGCAACCAAATTTGTTTTGTCTCAACTTACTGTTCTTTCTTTCAGTGCAGAAGGAGCAACACGCACTTTTTTATTTATTGTTCTTGATAATTGGCTTCATTTTCAGTCAGAACTGATCTGATCATCATGGAAAAAGAAATAAAACACATAAAAAAACCATTAAGGGATATTTATCTCCAAGTTAGAAGGGTAGTGAAAATATCCAGAAGGATGAGATAAGTGGTATTTCTAATCTAACGGATAAAATCCCCACTTAAACATCTACAGACGATGATACAGCTTTCAAATGCAACTATTTATGCCCTTTTATTTCTGGACTTTGCACTTAATACGGCGGTTAATTTATAGCAAGCAAAGGCAGAATTTACAGGACTGCAATAAACCAGGAGCCCATTCCTGACATAAAAGAAGTCACTGACACACCGTCCGTTCCCTCTCCATCACATGGGCCATAGCTGCACGCTGGGTCACACCTGGACAATGTCACCAGCTGCAGCACTGGGCCACCCCAGGTATCCACCACCCCTTCCCCCTTGGGTGAGGACAAGAAGTGTGTTCCACCCCACCCAGCTGCTCCAAAAAGCCCTCAATTCCCTCCCAGTGATAAGTCCCACCACTCTGAAGCCATACTGGGAAACTTTGGGATTATTCATCCTGTAGCTGGAGCCCCTGTGTGCTGCTTAGTAATGTGAGAAGTGCCAGCAGAGGGGACTTTCCATGGCTTGTTTAATGCTTCCTGGTAATGGCTTAGGTGACAAGCAGGCCCAGGGGCTGGGCAGAGGGGACTGCTTCACTGGGACTTACATGAATATGGGCAGGAAACTTCTGTTTGGGTATATCTGACTACCAGAATTAGTCTACAACTTTTGCTTGCTTATTTGTGGTCATCGAAATTGAGCTGCTGCACCACATTATTAGTCAAGGCTGATACTAAAACAACTGAATCTCTAGAACATGGAAACAAGCTAGTTAGAATGAAAGATTACAAATTAGTAAAGTACATGGAGTCAGAATGCAACTCCCTTTGCCAGCCAATACAGCAAGGACAACTGTTTTCTTCCCCATAAGCAAGCTGATCAGGAATGCTAAGAAGGGCTCCATTTGCTCTTGAGAGAAAGAGGCTTCAAAAAGTAGATTTAAATGTATTAACTAGCATACCAAGATGCTTTATGAGAAATCCTGGCAATAGAATTACTGAGGTTGACAGCACATTCGAAGTGAGAAATTAAATCATAAATGGTGTTCCCTGTCTAATCCCATTCATTTCAATCAGTACAAGAGCAAAACTCGTCACAGAAAGAAAAAGAACTAAACTATCATGATGCTTGGGGACTTCCTGATCCTTTCCTTGATGTCTCCTAGAGGCATTGAGAGGAAGTTTCATCCTGTGATTCATCCAACTGGCCAAAGACTGCATGTATCTGGGTCTAATTCTCTGCTCCCTGCCTCACTTTGGGCACATCAACTCATGGTCTGATCCCGAAACATCAGCTTCCAGCATTTAAGCAGGACATGGGCTCTTCATGTCTCTGTAAGGCCCACAGTGAGAACCAGAGAGCCCAGCTGGGCACCACATAGCCCTGGAGCTAGGGAAGTTGCTGGGTCACCACAACCTCACTTTTCAAAGGAGCCCAGCCCAAGGAGGTAGGACCTATTAGCTATGGAGCCAAACCAGCAGAGCATCCCTACCCATGCACCAGACCAGCTGCTCCCTCCTAACACAGCTCCTTTCTTTTCTCTGAACACAGAGCAGTGGCTGTCTCCAGGCCAGCAGTTAACATTTACCCAGGGAGTGGATCTCTCTGCCTCCAGTCTGATGGAATTCAAGGTGTCCACTACCATGGGAAGCAGCCTAACCATCTGAGCCAGGGCGGGGAAAAGAGCTCAAGTTTGGGAAAAAGGAGATAGCACATTACAAGCACCGATGAACACCAAGAGCTGAACTCAGTACTCTGTACAGGGTGCCTGGGAAATCACAGCTTACAGCGTGTTCTTTACAGTGCTACGAATGTAACAAAAATACACACCCTGGGTCTCTTTGAATTAAAAGAAAGGATTTCACTATACAGCATTAAATGTAAAAATATGACACGTGAAAGTACTGAAGTAGTAACATGAAAGAGATGGATATTTACATTTTAAAATCTCCAACTGTTACACAACTTACTTTTTTTTTTTTCTTTAAGAACACAAAATTTGCATACAGAAGAGGGAAGAAGATGTTTGGGGGATAAAAATAAGGAGGAGTAACATGATCCTCAGTTCAGATCTTCCACGAAGTATTGAAAGAAACCAGAAGGAAAGCAGAGGCAAAGCTTCCAATAATACTGTAAGTTACTCAGTAAAAGTCTTCAGGAGCACATGTCTTTGAAGTACCACGGGGAAGGCTCAATCCTATTACAGCCCTCCTGAGGAAGTGTTAATCTTCTAGACAAAGAAACCAAGGCTCACTTTTTATGAACTCCCATGTACTTTTGATTGCTTCTGGCTTGGTTTATTTGTTTCTTTAAGGCTCATCAAACCTGATTTTTTTCCTGAACCACTAAACCTACAGTTCAACTCAAAGGCAAATGGAAGCTGCTACGAAAAATCAGGCCACTTTCTTTTGGGAAGGGTAATTTATGGGCCTGTATTCTACTGTTATTGATGAAATGCCAGCATTGTGGAAATCAATAAAACAGCCTATCGCCAAAATGGCACTAGCACTAAGACTGTATTCTTGATTTAGAAATTGCTGGCTATGATTTAAAAAAAAAAGCAGAAAAGAAGACAAAATGCATGTTTTGTGGGTTCATAAAAAAGGCAGAGTGGTAGGAGATAAGCTATATTGATAAAATGTAATCCTTTTATGATAGAATTAAAAAAGATTCAAGGTTTATATTTCTGGTGCTTTAGACTGCATTTATCATAAATAAACCAAAGTTAGTCTAACATTGTGGCACTGTCTGTTGGTGAAAATTTATAAATCTGCCCATTTATTAGGATTACTGTTATTACTTTAGGGGGAGGACAATCAAATCCAAACTCTGGGCTTTTTTTTTTTTATCTTCCAGACACAGATGAACAGCTTTTGGTTGGGGATTTTTTTTTTGTATGAAAACCAATTACTGGTCTTGACTGAAGCTGAATTCAATTCTTTTTTTGATGTTCTGCAGTGCACTTCTGAGCAGCTTTTGCAAGCTATGACTAGAGTAGAGCATTTGCAGTCCCTCCAACAAAACAGAAAAAGTATTTGTAAGCTCATTACTACCAGAAAAACAGCACCAGTACGACTCACACAGTTTGTTCTTGCAGCAATGATGAAGAAAATTCACAGTATGAGCAAGGGGAAAATCATAGTGAACAATTTCTGATTTATACAATCAGTTCGGGGTTTTTTTTAGTTTAGGTGTGGATACATTGCATCAGATGTTTTTCAACATCTCCGCCTTCGTGCAGATAGGTTGGCAAATCCAAAAGGCAAGCTGTCCCAGAGGGCAGCATGCATCTTATACAAACCTGTACCCCTGCTCAGGAGGCCTTCAAAATGGGATTAAAGAATTGAAAGTCATTTTGTTGCATTTCTTCCTCCTTTGCAAGGATCAGTGATGCCATCTTCACCCTTGCTCTCAGTGACTAGGGGATCGGCTGCCTGTGGTTTGCCCACTGTTTCCCCCAGAGCCCAGCCTTGTTCCCAGGAACATCATCCTGCCTCCCAAGCAACAACAAATGCTACACGCAGCCAAACCATGGAGGAGAAGGCTTTGTGACTTCAACATGGACTCTACCTGGTATCCAACACCAGGGCCAAGACTTAAAACCCAGCAACTGCATTTGCTGTGGCACTACTGCTGTTCTGCATGCACACCGCAAGCTGCTCCAGAGTAAGTAGAGAAAAAAATGCACCATGGAATTTAATTATTACATTAATTTGATTTTGTTCAACAGCAAAAGGGAATAAAAAAGACATACGAGAGCAGCTTCAGACATAAACAAGGAGCGTATCCCATTTTGGATCGGTTCACGTGCTGTGTATGGCACAACATGTAGTTTTCTTCTTTTTGTTTGTTGTTTTCAGTTTAGGTTTTATCCAATTATATATCTATTGTGTGACAGGCCTGGCATGAGAGATCCCATTTACAGGAAATATTTCTGAGATCACAGGCCCTGCAGGCTAAATGCAAACACTGGAGCAGATGGTAACTGATCCAGTAGAGCTGTACCTAGGGGTGCTGGAAGGGGGAAAAGACTTGGAAAGTAAAGCCGCTAACAAAATAACCTCACATTATTAAAAACTACAACCAAATCAGCCCAGCCAGCAGCTAGGGACCTCATTAAGGATGCCTCTGACCACTGCTGCCGACCTGCTCGTGGCAAGGGGCCGGGGGTGGGAGGGAGGGCAGGCAAAAGAGGGTGCTTGCTTATGGAATGACTTCCTACCTGCCCAAGAGCAGAGCAAAGGGGCTGCTCTGCCCATTGAGTAATCACCATTGAACAGTGGTGAAAGCTGTAGAGGAGAAAGAGGAGAGCCAAATACCAATCCACACTTTAACACAGTCGTTCCCAGGCTCTCCCTCTGGCACGGCTGCAGGATGCCGAGACCAGCCCTGTGAGAGGAATTCCCTCCCGTCCCTAACAATACAGTGTCTGTGTCCAGCCAGCCTGCTGATGCTCCTTTTCAAGCAGGTGCCCTCTAGACTGCAATGCCTCTTGGGTTCACAAAGCTGTGCTGAGGCTGGGTCAGCAGGAGGAAGAGCTGACCAGGTTAACAGGCAACTTCATTGCACAGGTGAGCTCAGGTGGACACCTATCCTGGGGAACAGTGCAAATTAAGGAAGGAAACATCAATATGCTGCCCTTCTTGCAGCAAAAAAAAAAACCAAACCCTTTTGATGATAAATCTGCATTTATACTAGGGTTGTAAAAGTGCTGTGACAAGAAATCACAGCCCTAATGAACTATACTGTAGCAGGAAAACAATTCAACCACAGACCTGCAGAAGCAGGTAACTCTGTCTCCCCATATTTTTAAGTAGCATCTATCACAGTGCATTTCCAACGTCGATAATAGTATGACAGTATCTCAGCATACTGACATTAACCTGGTTTTGAACACATGAGGGGAAACTCAGAGAAACTGGATTATAAAAGTGAGATTCCAGACCAGTAAATGGGAACAGCTGACCAAAGCTCTTGAGAAACACTGACTCATTCACAATCAGTATTTCAAAGATTGGTAAAAGTTACATCATTTCATAAGGCAGAGTGCAAAATATCAGCTTAAGTACTTCACCTACTTTATTTTCTGGAGAGGGACTAATTATACCCACTTATAACATAAATTGTACTGTTTCATCTTTACTAAGTAGGGGTTCATTAAGCCAGCTAGCTAAGCTAGCTATCCCTCACCTATGTGTTTTCTGTCACTTCTGTTCTTGTCCCTTTTGCTCTCTGTCTGCTTCTCACTCATTTGAGGACTTATCCTTCCATCCTTTAGCCTTCTGCATTTTTTCACAGAGCAAACAAGCAGGTTTGCTCTGACTTTCCTTGCAGATGATGCTCCCCAAGCCATGGGGGAGTCCCCAAGACTCCCTCTCACAGTGGTCAAATGCTTTTTTGTTCGAAGCAGAGCACAGCATCCAGCTGAGACTTCCCCAGCGTGGAGTCGCTGTATAAAGGTTTCTTCACACGTCCTGCATCTCACTCCCCTCGTGTGACTTTTTCACCCTTTGGAATGCAAAAATAAGCCCTGATTTACATGTGCAGTCCAATTTTACCAGGATCCTCTAAAACAAACCTCCCTGCTGCTGCTGAGCGCTGTTTAAATCAAGAGGCCTTCACACGGGTGAAGATGTCTTAAAGAAAGATCGGGATGTAACTCTGTCACAATTATTATGATTTGGTAACATTTAGCAGCTGTGTTTTTTTGCTGCAGACATCAGTTTTATAGCTGAAACTGTTCCTTTAATTTTTTTGCAAGAGTGTTTCACTATTTTTTTTGTCATTGTTGTTTCCTGGACTCCTAAATATAGCCAAGTGGAATAACTAGCACCTCTGTAAACTGTTGGTTAAATGCCACACTGAGTTTCATTTTGCTCTCTAAAAGGCCATTTAAAACACATCAGGCTTGTAGAGCTCAAAATTTAGGAAATTATTTACATTCTGGGAATAACTCCTAGCCATTTCCGCAGGCTTTTCTGCCTTTAATACACGTTAATGCTATTCCCACCAAATAAAAGCGTGGCCTGAAAAACACCAGGTATCAAAATAAATGGCACTTCAAAGTTGAAGAAACAGAATTGAGAAACAAAAAAAACTGTAAAGGTTGCTCTGCTGTCCCGAGGTGTTTTGTCACCAGGGTGTTAAACAGCAAGTAGTCTGCTTTAGGCTTCATGGGACATTTCAGGCAAACTCACTGGTGGCAAATGAAGTCACTGCTGCTCTTAACCCTATGGAGCTGAGCTCATTTATGTCATCATTTAGTATAAACATGCTTCAAAACTAAAAATGCCATGGAACTGAGTGCCACATTCCTGCCAGAAGGGGAAGTAAGAGGTTTATGTTTACCTGCCACAAGGTGTAAGATGGTAAATGACACTGTCATTGGACACAAGCCAGGAATTATGGAATCACAGGTTGGAAAAGACCCCCAAGATCACCCAGCCCAACCACCACGAATCCCTCACTCCATCCTGAAACAGACCCACACACACACCAGAAAGCTGAGGTATGGGGATCAGTATGGAAAAACATAGTCCTCAGAGTCCAGATGCCTATGCTACACCCCTTTACTCCAAAGTAATTTGAAATAATGCAAGCTCTGAAGTCCCTCTGAGAATAAAACTGCCTGACCCACAGGGAGTAGAACTTGCTTATTTACTCAACTTTCTGTCAACATTTAAAAGGAATTATCATTCCCATTTTGTAGCAACTAAGCTGTTTGCCTAAGGTCAGAGAGTGAATTAACGTTAAACTAGATTACACAGTATCGTAGTTCCCATTCCTGTGGTCAACCAGCTACCATCTGATTAGGTCACCTCAGCACATTTAATTTAAAAAGAATGTTCAATCTAACACTTTGCTGAAGAAGTGCTTGAGTCTTCAACAAAGTCATGTGAAAGAGAAAGAGGGAACAATAAACAAGAAAGCTGCCTACGTCTCAGTAACTTGCAAGTCCAAACAGACAAAGAGTAATTCAAAGTCCTGAAATACTGTCATTTGCTGCAGAAAAAGTCACATAAAAACTCTTGGCTTTTGGGGAGGAACTGCAGCCCAAAAGGCCTGATCATTGCTGCAGCTCGGGGCCAGGCAAGCAGCTTTGGGGAGGTTCAGCAGCTACTCTCCCATAGCCCCAGTCCTCCATGCAAAGGCATTGCAGCCTGCCCAGAGGCAAGATGTTATGAAAATTAGGTAGAATGAATGTCACTCAAAATTACTTCTTGTATTTTTCAGCTTTAAAACAAGCAAATGGGCTGCAGGGCCTCTCCAGACATCCACACGAAGAGAGCCTCTCAGAAACATGAACCATCCTGTGCTGGAAGGGAGACTGGAAAGGTTTTAAATTAGGAACTGCATTCCTCTTCCAGGTGCTGATGAAACCCATAACACCAAAACAATTAAGATGTTTTCTAATTTACTTTTTTTTTTTAATATTTGCTGAAATAGCTGGAGCTTCTCAAAAGAAGAGAAACACATGTTTTTGCAAGGCCCAGCTATTCCTTCAGTTACCACTGGCAAAGCAGCAAATAGCTGCCTGCCCAAACAAAACTGCGGCACCTCACAAATGAG